GGGGGGGGGGGGGGACCTATCAGGGGGAAAAGCAGCACTGTGTTTCTTCTGCTCAGATGTTTCGGTAGCATTCATTCAATGCTGAAGTAACCTTCCAGAGTAAAAGCATGCACTGCCATGGCTTAGAAGGAATAAGGTTCTATAGGAACGTGCATTGTATCTGTACATACCTGTCTCACCACTGCTGATGTTACGGATGGTGTTGCTATGGTTACTGTCGTGATGGCTACCGCACGCATGTGACAGCGTCGAGCGCAGTGCTGCCGTGAGCCTTGACCTGAAAGCTTTAAACAGCTACAAAACCAAAAACTTTAGGAGAGGAAAGATGGAGGGATTTGGGGTTCCTGGATAGAAAATACATCAAAATGTATGTATTGTATGACAGCAGAAACGTATCAGTGCTCCATCTTCCTCTCTTTTTGCTCTCTGCCTCACTCCTCCTCCTCTTTGTCCTATTTCTATTCCTGCTTTGTTTTGTATTTATTTCGTAGCGTGTCTGTTGTTTTGTCTCCTGGTTAGGGGGTGTAGAAGAGAGATAGTTCCTCATATACCTCACTCTCTTAACGACAAACCAAATAGATGAATGCTTTAAAACAGAGAAGCGGGCTGCATCCGTCAGTAGGGGCCGAGGATTAGTGTTTTGATCGGTCCAGGGAACATTTAGACGAAAAAAATGAGGGTGAAACACTCAAAGAACTTCACTGATGCTCTGGCATGTTCACTCCCTCGGCCTCTGGGACCATTTTTCCAGTCACCAAACACAGGGCAGGACACATACACACACCTTTTCATATATATACACACTTATTTTTCATGTGTATGTATGTATAAGTCAGATAGGTGACTGAAGAGCTGGCGGTGACTGTTGTTGCTAGGTGACAAATTTAATGTCTTAAAACGCAGGAGTGGAATAAAAGGGGACCTCTTTTAATCTTGCGTTATCTTTAGCTTTCCTTCTTACCGTTACAGTCAGGCGCAGTTCCGGACGTCTTAAAAACTTGATGTTGATACGCAAGTAGCCTGCAAGGGAGCATGTTTAAAGTGTTAGTCTCTCAGTGGCGTGAATCTCCAGAGAATGATACCAAAGCAACACGCTTTTCTGAGACCGAACACAACACACACGCTCCCTAAAATTCTGTAAACAATCCTCGAGTTTTATTCGCAGCGGTTTTCAATTCATTAATTAGTTACAATCGGAAATGGGTGAAAATTCCCGAAGAGAAAAAAATCATAGCATTTGAAATGGCCTGACCAAGAGAACTGCAAATATGAGTATTTTCGTTCTCATTTTACTCTCTAATGTTATACCTGCTCTCTCTCTCACTATATATAATATATATATTATACATTAAAAAAAAAAACAGCTTCAGTCCAAAGGTGTTTAAAATTCTTTTTAAAAATAGCAAATAACACATCTAGTTAAACCAAAGAGCTACACTAAAACATCCTCAGCTGTTTTCTTTTGTCTCTTTTCCTGGTCACCTAGCAACCCAGTTTCTGAAGGTATAGCCTCAACTATCCAAAGTAACATACGATGAAGATAATGATGAAATTTATATTTTTAATTATTCATTATCTGGGGAAAAATCTTCATGGTGGTGATGATGATCTTAAAGAAAACACTTGGTATGTCTGTGATGAATTGTTGTTTCCGTTTTTTGGGGGTTGTGTTAATCTGTCCCCTGAATCTCCTTGATTTCATGTTCGCTGCTCAACTGTGCGTAAATGAGAGCGCGTGGGTGTGTCATTGTCTGCGTACATATGATCATGTGCGCGTGAATATTTTACACCCCAAAATTGGACAGATATGCGGTTATTTTGGCGTGGATATGTGCGTGAATGTGTGCGTCTTTTTTGCTTGTTGATGTACGTTGTCATGTTTTTACCCTTTCCATTCTTTCTTTCTTTTTCTCACTTGAGTTGAGCAGTTCCTTTTTCTTCTCTTCTGTCCTCTGTCTCTCTTTTTCTCCCTATGGTGACAGGTTAGCCTTTTGGTGTAATTATCTCTGAAACCAAAAAATAGTTGACAAATAACTCGCTTGTTCATTGTACAGTGTTGTTCATTTAAAGTCATTTTTGTAACTGAAAGTGTTTCACTCATCTGAATAAAAACGGTAGAGAGAAAAAACATGCATGAAAATGTTGTCTTTTACTTGTCAGTTTGCTTAATCGATATGTGAGATGCAGTGGCCATGTATGATGCTGTTTGGCCGCTGGGTGGCAGCAGCAGCCACATGCTGTTCTCCTTCATATGGATGAATCATCCGTGAGAGCTTCTGCCTCCACATGGTGCCACAATTTAGTCACCTTCTCTTCCCCTTCCTTCCTTCAGTCTCTCTAGATCTATCTGTTTCTCTCTTTTCTCCCTCTTTTTCCACTTTTCACAGCTCTCATTTGCTCATCTGACTCATAGGACATCTGGTCTTTGCCAGACAGCCCGTCCTTTACTCATGTTCTACTCCTCTCCAATTTAGACGATTAAAAATCTCACCTTTTTAAGATGTTCGTCTTTACATCTGCTATTAAAAACACATCAACCAAAGCTTAACTTTAGTTAGGAAGTGAAAGTTTAGCTATATGATTTGTCACTCTCACATTATAATGTATATTAAATAAAAAGTAAAATTAAGTAATGTACAAGTTTATGACTAATCAAAAATTATTATTTTAATGACTTCAAGCAAACGTATGTAGTTCTGTGTGTTTTTGAAGGCTTTGGAGCCCTCTACAGTGATTTGAATTTACTGTCGTAAATATATTGTTGTGGTAATTACAGTGGTATTTACAGTGCGGAATTTTGTACAGTCTGCCTAACCAAACTTACACACTCTCAGAACAGACGTTTAGTGGAGAGTGTGGGAGCGAAACAGAAGCCACGTAGAACTGACTTAGTACTGCACAGCTGTAGAGTTGAGAAAAAATAAAGGCTTTGAAATCGTATGTGTTTAAAGGGGTCATATGATGCGATTTCAATTTTTCCTTTCTCTTTGGAGTGTTACAAGCTCTTGGTGCATAAAGAAGATATGTAAAGTTGCAAAGACTAAAGTCTCAAATCCAAAGAGATATTCTTTATAAAAGTTAAGAGTCAACCACGCCTACCTAAAACGGCTCGTTCTAACACGCCCCCACATGTCTACCTCACTATGTGGGAAGATTTGCATAACGCCGCCCAAATGTTCACGCCAAGAAAGAAGGCGTAACTTTTATTCTCGCTGTAGTATTGTTGCCGCCGCCATGTTGTGAAGACGCTGTGTTTCGTTGTGAAAGCGAAACTACTTTGTTTGGCCTTCCAAAAGAGGACA